TTACCTATAGTGTGCATATAAAATGTGCATATTAAATTTTAATTTAAGCTGCTTATCTAAGTTGCCCATATTCTGGCTTGGTATTTTTGAATGCACATGAGTTGTCCTCTTGATTCTGACACTCTGCTCCCTGTTGCTGTATATTGAAAGAATTGTCTTGGCCTGATTGTAACTTGGTTTAAATGTTATTGCCTATGCTCAGTAGCAACTCTTCTGGGTTTTTTTGAGGTGCATGAAAGACAATCCACCAGTACATCTCTCATTCCAGGAACACCTTATTTGTTCTGGTTGAATACGCACAAGGCTGCTTCTAGATGAAACAGATGAAAATGTACAAAACAAGAGCTTACAGTCTGTGCATGTTTGCTGCTAATGTCCTTAATGTTATCACTCAGGCTTTAGATGGTAGTAGCTGCCCATATTTGTTTTGATTGCCCCATATTCCCTGTTGATTAAATGATGGGGAGATGTTATTTCCACATAACAAAATGGCTGTTCCCTTTACAATTGTAACTTACCCCCCAAAAAAACCGACTTCATTGCTCTTCATTGCACTGCATTGATGTCATCTCATGTTTTTTCTCCAAGTTAATCTCTGCACAAACATTCTGAGTGTAGTAGTCTTTCTAAAAGCGAGACGTTCCTCCAGTATTCTGTGATAAAGTACTGGTGTAAGTATTAATTTCAGAGAATGATGAGGAAAAGAAACAACCTTCTAGTTATAGTGATAACAGCCTTATTTTTTTTCCCTTGGGTGGAATTTTTTTAGTTGGAGAGAGCTGAAAAATTGATTTCTTATTGCTTTCAGGATTTGTTTTCCAGCACTACAAATGGCCTTTTTGTTAAAACGAACTTTTTACCCTCTTCTTTCTCTCTGTTTCTCTGTCTTGTTCTCTTTGGAACATTGTTAATATCCCCTAAAGAGAGCCCAAACACCAGTCTGTCATTGTCACTGTCAGGAGATTATAATTTAAAGCCACCATTTCCTGTTCCCCACAAACAAGGCTATGTTTAGAGTATTTAATTATTGGAAAGAAACACTTATGAGCAAGGTTTAGCATGATTTATAATGGTTTGGGTAGAGCAGAGGTTTTTAGCAAAGATTGCTTTCATTGCTTTTCTCTTCTGACCAGTGATAGTAACTTAGTATTTAATATATTTGAAGGGTGCATATTTACACATTGCCTTTGGTTCTGTTCATGAAAAATTTCTGCGCTTCCCACTAAACAATTACTGCTACCAGTGCTGCTCCATGGATTTATATCACCTGCAGGCACTATCAGTGACACAACAGCAGGCAGAAGCTCTCTTTAAGAGGAAACGTAGTGTGATTCTGGCTTATAGGTTGGCTTAATATAGGAGTTAATGAAGTTTGAGGTTTTACAGAATAGTTTCATACTCTTTTCAGGGGATGTCGGGTGTCTTGTAGTTCTGCCTGTGCTGTTGCTTTGGGGGAAGATTCTTAAGACTGAAATGAAAAGGTCACGACAGTGGCTCTTGATACCTTCCTTGCTGATGTTTTTACATGTTGTGTGGAAAATACCTGTAGTTCAAGAGGACTTCAGCATTTTCAGCTCACTTTTTTCTACGTTTTTGTTGTAAACACAAACTCTACAGCACACTTGTTGTCTCTTGATCAGACTAAATCTGATGAGATTTAGTTCTCTAGGTTAGCCTGAAAAGTAGAATAATGAATAACAATGTTCCCATTCATGGGATGAAAATATGATCTTGTTTGGGCTTTTGATTTTCTTTGGAGCAGGAGAGGAAATACAGCTTCACCAGTAAACTCTGTTTACCAAGTACCTTTTAGGAAGAGCTATTTGTAGATTCAAGTAATTGGAATAGAGAGGGAAGTCCATTGTATGCATTTGGTAGGTAGTAGGAACACATGCTGTCATTCACATAATGAATGGCTATAAATTGAAAACTAAATTCCTTTATAAGTACCTGAAACATGCTGAAAAATCATCAGGAAAGATGCAGTTAAAATATTCTTGTGAAAGTGTCATTCTTGTCTTACACAAAAAACCAATGTAACAACACTTGTTAGTGAAGCTGTGATGTACATTAGTACAAGGTATGTGTATTTAGGTTCTGTCTTGTCCATTTTCATTATATATGTGCAAATGTGATGTTTTTAATTTAAGTTAGCATGATATTTTACAGTACTGAAACAGGCAAGATGGCCAAGGAGATTTCACCTAGATACTAAACATGAAAGAGATCGTGTACTGAAGCCACAGGAGCTCTGTGTTTCAGAAAGAAAATACTCAAGTGGTGTGGATTTAATCTAAAATGTAAAACATTCTGCCCTGACCAGCCTTACTTGTAACCTGAAAGAGAGGGCTTTCAAATACTGTATGTGTAAGAAAATAGTGTCAGATGTAATTCAAGGAAAACTCTGAAACATACTTGAGCTGTCCCTGCCTAATCGCTACTTCAGGGGAATAGTGCACAATAAACAAGTGTTTTGGAATTAAAATCTCTTATCTCTTAACAGAACAAGCCATTGAAAGCTCTTCAGACCTGTTTTATTTTTGCAGCATGTTGCACCTGTTTATCTTGGGTTTAATGTAATTTTTTTGGTTTATAAATGTAAATACAGCAATAAAAAGGAAGAGTTGATCTATTTAAGCAGATAATAATTGCAACAGCACACATCGATCTTTAACGCTAAGTGACAGGAGTCCCACGTATAAACTACAAACCAGATACCTTTTCCTTCAAAGCTACCAAAGATGCCTTCAACAGTGCAATAATGCAGGGCTTAATTTTTGCAGTAGTCAATTTGTTAACACAAAGTGGTGACCAGTAATGAGTTCTGGGCAAAATCATTTGTGCTGATACTACAAACATTTAAGTTGTATACACCATGGACCTCCCAAAAGCTTCTATTTTATGCTGCTAGATGTCTTAAGGGCCTTCCTATTTCAAATTTACTTTGTTCCTTTATCTTCAAGAAGTCACAGATACACCATAACTTCAAAGCAGTCTGTTTTCCTCTTTTCTTACATGATCAGTTTTTAGTAAAAGTGAATAGGACTGATTGCTTAAGACTTCTCTAGTGATTCCTTAATGGCAAAGCTTTTCTACCGTGTTAAAAGGTTAACTTCAGTCCTTTGCATTCATTTGTTGTCACTGCTGTGTGTGCATGGTTTGAAGTTTGGGAGCTCCTCTTAGGGATGGCTGGTTCACAGTTGGGAGATTCTATGAGAGGAGAGAAAATGTCATGTAAATGATCTGGAACAGAGCAAGTAAGTTGGCTCAGACAGCTTCTGCTGTTAATCAATGTCTGTATTGTTAACAGATGTCTGTGTATTGCATCAATAAGTAATAAAGTGCTTGATTGTAATAACTGCCAGGAGGCAATGGTTTTGTGGGTTTAGTGTATGGCTTACCAAGAAAAATCTATATCCGTATCAGATGGGCAAAGAAAATGCTAGGACTCTGTTTCAGTTTTTAGTTTCAGGACAGTGAATTACTGAAAGAGAAAATAATGCAGTTCCTTTTCAAGTGGGACTCTTTATCCATGGATCTCTTTGCAACAGACAATTGAAAGAATCTTCATTTCTTCTTCCAGACCCATGAATAGGCTGTCACTCATTTGTGCTGGCAAACATTCATAGACACCCATCTACTAAACACTGCCTGCAAACAATAATGCTCACTGATCTAGTGGTGGTGAAGTGGTGCTGATGGGCAGATGGCCTGGTTTTCCTGGAAAAAATGCTAAAAACTCTTTGCAAATTCAATTTCCTGTCAGTCCTTTTGAGGATGTCATTGGCTCTGCTGTAGAAAGCTGTCAATTCCAAATGCTGGAGATGTGATCTGCTAGAGTTGGACAATTTGTCATCCCTACCTAATTGATGCTGCTGGTCAGTTTTGTTTTCTGTCAACACTGAAAGGTTCTTAAAGGTTCCCTTTCCTGGTAAAGAGCTTTTTCTTTAATGAGACTTTATCTTTACATTGCTAGGATTTGATACACGCTTATTTTGAATCCCCCACATGTATGATAATGCCTGATTTTAATTTCTCTTGGTCCTTATATCTTCAAAGTATCTTCTCATTAAGTTATTCTCATCTGGCAAAGCTGGACAAGATACCTCAATGGATATTTAGAGGTCTTTGGCATATTTGGATAGGATTTGGATATTAGGATTTCCTAGGAATTAGTACAAAGGAAGCATCGTTTCTACTTTTAATGTGTTTAGCTCAGATTTATTACTGGATGAAACAACATATTGCTGACAGTTCTTTGGATTTCTGTAGTTCATCCTTCTCTGGGAAAAAACACAGCATCATTGTCACTTGTTTTTCATCTTAAACTTGTGTGGCTTGTAGCTGGAGTTAGTGGCTTATTCAACTAGATATTTAAATCCAGTCCTATTTTGGGAAGAGTGTTACTACAGGGGATACTTAAATAGTGTGGATAATGTGGGAGGAGTAAGAAATGCTTGCTTTTATTTTTTTAATGCATGCTAAACTCCCACAAGTTGAAGATTATATATAGAGGGCATTCAGAGAAGTAAAACAATCATTCTTACTTGCCTTATCTCTAGGGAATTTCTTTCCCATCTGTAATCTATGTAGAACATTGAATTTATTGACCAGAAGTAAGTCAGCTACTTCAAGTCAGTTGCACACTATTTATTCAGATGTTTTGATTTCTGAGATGCTTCCCTGAGCTTTCTCGAAGGTTGATGGCTCAAGCATCTCAAATTCAAGTATATGGGGACATGAAGCATTTGTGCTATCTCTGCACAAGCTAGTGTTAACAAAGAAGATCCTTTCAAAGCACACTGCCAATAAGTAAAAAACCCTTTAGTCTTAGATGTGTGTGGCCTCCTAAATGGGAGTAATTTCTATTAATATCGTTAAGATTTTGCCATTTCATGGTGTATGTGTCATATATACATTTCAGGAGAGTATAGTCTTTTATATAGGCTAGTACTTTACTGTGCTTGTGGTTAATATTACCTTCTTTGATATCATTTCAGGAGTATGATGATGGCTATGGAACTGCTTACGATGAACAAAGCTATGATTCCTATGATAACAGCTATAGCACTCAAGCACAAAGGTAAGTCTTAATCTGGTGTACATACATTTGAAATTTTATGATTGGAAAGTTAATTTTACTTAAAACTTCTTCAATTTCATCTTAAACAGCAAAAATTTTATAAGAGGCTTGTTAGAAATAACCCTTAGTGATACTTGTCTCTAGTATCACATGAGTATAAGTCAAGTTACTGAGTGGTCAGAAAGAAACAGAAATGAGAACTTGAATCAGAGTTTTAGTGATGCTAAATCATAAATCATCTGAACACAGAGCTGATTGCATTTTTCTTGCTGCTTAAACATGGCTCTATTCCAGTATTTTACTTTAACTTGGCTGTAAAAGTATGTCCTTTAGTTTTAGTTCTCTGTGGACTTCTTTGTGACAAATTTGAATCTTTGTGTTCCTTCCACTTCATTCTTAGCAGTGCTTTGAAGCACTTCTGATGTATTTTCTTCAAATTTTGCTTCCTTCAAAAGAGTCAGTATTTGGAAACTCCATGATTTACAAGGAATACTGAAATGTTCCAATTATGAGTAAACCCTTTTTAGTACAAATTACTTGTTAGGTGGTAGTTTGAACTTAATGGCAAATACCACATGACACATTATTTAGCAGCTTGGCTGATCATCCCTACTGTTAGGTCCTTCTAATGTGCATGTCTGGAAAGGGAGCTTTGTGCACCTATTACTGAGTTATAGTTTAACTTGTCTCTTTTTTGTTTAGACCAAGCATTCCTAGTTTGATCAGGAGCAGATTCTATAATGTCACTGAGAATTTCTTGAAACTTGTGTGGCAATAAACTTCAAATGATTGAAAAAATAATGCTGGAAAATGGTTAAAATGTTATATTCTGCATTACTACTTTGGTTGGTTGGGGTGATTGGAGCTTCAAACCTTGCCCACTGGGAAAGATAACAGTAGGAAGGGAAGATATAGCAATAGGACAAGGGGGAATGGGTTCAAACTTAAACAGGGGAAATTCAGGTTGGATAAGGAAGCTCTTCACTGTGAGGGTGGTGACGTGCTGGAATGGGTTGCCCAGAGAAGTGGTAAATGCCCCATCCCTGGCAGTGTTCAAGGCCAGGTTGGACAGAGCCTTGGGCGACATGGTCTAGGGTAAGACATCCCTGCCCATGGCAGGGGCTTGGAATTAGATGATCTTAAGGCCCTTTCCAAACCATTCTATGATTCCATGATATTGGTGGATATTGTGATGCTGATAAATAGATACTTAGTGTTTTACCTTCTATTAAATATTTATGACTTTTACAATGTAGCTTTACCTGAAATGGTACAGAACTACTCATGGCAAAGTTGGGAACAAAGCTGTTTACACCTGATATCTGCTTTGCTGTAGTGCTGACATGAATTTAAATTAAGCCCAGCTTAATTTTTTTCTATACATGAGTATTTTCCTGTGTACAACACCTTAATGTGAAAAAGCTTAGTGGAAAGTTCAAGTGTCATTATTACTGAGAACTAACAGAATGAAAACACCTTTGTGTCTGGTACTTGGCTTCTGCAGAGTCTTGCAAGATACCAAAAATTTATAAGGATAATACGATTTAAGAAAGCAGCAGTGTAGGACCTGCAAAACATGAGGCTCTGTAGAATGTTACATTTAGAGAGCAGCTGTTGGTAATGGATTTTTTCCAGAAAGAAAATTACCAAAATAGTCCTCAACTTTTATGTTAGCAATTCTGTTCTGTTTTACTGCTTCTGGTGTTGGTAAATGGGTTTATTGCACACAAACATTTGGACTTCATTACAAAGTCATTTGTCTGAGCCAAAACTAAACATTACTTGGATTTGATTTTTTCCATATTAAGGTTTTCACTGAGATTTTCTCCCTTTTGAACTAAAATTAGCAAAAAGCACATCTCTGAAAATTGAAATTGCTCTTGTAAAGGACTAAGGATATGTTTAATCTTAGGTGTAATATGTATACATACTTAGCCATCTGGAAGGAGATGCTTCATGATACTATGGCTTTGTATTTTACCTGTATAATTACCTATGTATGTATTGTACCACAATACATATACTGTTAGATTGTGTTGGATTCACGAGCTTTGGAATGATTACTTCATCCCGGGAATGGGTTCAAACTTAAACAGGGGAAATTCAGGTTGGATAAGGAAGCTCTTTACTGTGAGGGTGGTGACGTGCTGGAATGGGTTGCCCAGAGAAGTGGTAAATGCCCCATCCCTGGCAGTGTTCAAGGCCAGGTTGGACAGAGCCTTGGGCGACATGGTCTAGGGTAAGACATCCCTGCCCATGGCAGGGGCTTGGAATTAGATGATCTTAAGGCCCTTTCCAAACCATTCTATGATTCCATGATATTGGTGGATATTGTGATGCTGATAAATAGATACTTAGTGTTTTACCTTCTATTAAATATTTATGACTTTTACAATGTAGCTTTACCTGAAATGGTACAGAACTACTCATGGCAAAGTTGGGAACAAAGCTGTTTACACCTGATATCTGCTTTGCTGTAGTGCTGACATGAATTTAAATTAAGCCCAGCTTAATTTTTTTCTATACATGAGTATTTTCCTGTGTACAACACCTTAATGTGAAAAAGCTTAGTGGAAAGTTCAAGTGTCATTATTACTGAGAACTAACAGAATGAAAACACCTTTGTGTCTGGTACTTGGCTTCTGCAGAGTCTTGCAAGATACCAAAAATTTATAAGGATAATACGATTTAAGAAAGCAGCAGTGTAGGACCTGCAAAACATGAGGCTCTGTAGAATGTTACATTTAGAGAGCAGCTGTTGGTAATGGATTTTTTCCAGAAAGAAAATTACCAAAATAGTCCTCAACTTTTATGTTAGCAATTCTGTTCTGTTTTACTGCTTCTGGTGTTGGTAAATGGGTTTATTGCACACAAACATTTGGACTTCATTACAAAGTCATTTGTCTGAGCCAAAACTAAACATTACTTGGATTTGATTTTTTCCATATTAAGGTTTTCACTGAGATTTTCTCCCTTTTGAACTAAAATTAGCAAAAAGCACATCTCTGAAAATTGAAATTGCTCTTGTAAAGGACTAGTACATAAGGATATGTGTAATCTTAGGTGTAATATGTATACATACTTAGCCATCTGGAAGGAGATGCTTCATGATACTATGGCTTTGTATTTTACCTGTATAATTACCTATGTATGTATTGTACCACAATACATATACTGTTAGATTGTGTTGGATTCACGAGCTTTGGAATGATTACTTCATCCCTCATATCCCCAGTTTTATGAAGTGTTGCCTGGTAAAAGAAAACAAGAAATGATCCACTTGTATGTTTCTCATGGGGTATTGACATTGATTTTTCTGGCATAATTTCTGGCTTGGCAAAAAGATTTTTGGGATTGTATTGGCAGGCAGAAAGTAATAACTATAAACAGCCATCTGAGCTACCTAGAACAGCATTCCTGTCTTTAATCTGAATATCGAATAGCCCATATTGCAAAACGTCAGTTTGTAACCACTAAGAGATTTATCATTTAGGTGCATTGCAGTGCCCTTACTAGGAAGGAAATTAGGGAAAGTGTATTTTTATAATTTAGCTTTATATCATTCCATATTTTGCCCTCATAAGGCATGGAAGGAAAATGCATTTGCACATAGAGGGCATTCAAGTGTTCAAAACACATCATTTGTGACTAGCATGTGTAAATAACTCTTCTTCTTTCATTTGTAAGTTGAAAGTACTAATCTTAAGTAATAGCATTTCTAGTTTGTCTTCTGATATTAATTTCTCTAGAAGATTGTTATATTAATGATATTGTATATTAACGAGGAAATTCGAGAAGTAGCGAGTAAACTGAAAAGATAGGTTTGCTTGTAAATTTGCAATAGTTTTTCAGTATGTGAATGCTTTTCCTGCACCTCATTATATTTGTTTAATGTTCACACATGTGCATTGTGTACAACATATGTGTGATACAGTGGAGACTGTTGAAATACTCATTTTTGTTCAAGTTTTTTGCTGATTTTAATGATTCCTCTGTTAAAGATGGAAAATGTCAATAGAATTGGAAGTCCCTCTAGAAATCTTCCAACTGTCTAAGATGACATTGCATGACAGCACATCTTTGCTATCTGTGCGCAGGAATACGTTCTCCAACTTTGACTGCTCAATACAACACAGCATGACCCTCCTTTAATGTTTAATTTTGACATTTTTGGTGTATTTCCCAGAAACAGCCAAATCTGATTCACTAGGATGGGCGATATGTTCAGATATGAAGAATACCAAACTATTTTTGTGCATTAAGGTAGTAGGGACTTTGCATCCCTATGCAAAAACTACTTCCTTTCTACAACCCAACTGCTTGCTGCTGCCCAATGATGTTTATTTAAAAGTTTAATGGTATTTTATTTGATGTTGTGTGACACTACCCTTGCTTGAGCGTGGCAATCTGGTGCTTTAGATAAAACATCACAGGACTAACAGGGAGAGAAACATCAGAGTGTTCTCCAAGTTCTCATCTATCTTAATGCCTTGTAATCCTATAAAAAATTGTTTTCCTCTAAAACATTTTCTTGTCCGAAGTTGTTTGTGCAACAAAGCCTCAAAGAGAGGATGTCTTTTAACAGAATTATTTTTCATGGACAAAAAGACTTCAAAATATCCCTTGGAGCTATACTAAGCTTGACTAAACATCTTAACTGATTTTTTTTTTTAGAAGAGATGTAATTAAATTATGTGTATAGTTTTTTGCAGAGGATTGTTAGATATTTATACCAGGATAAAGTGGGGCGGTTCAACTGGGCTGTTCAGCATTGTTACAAAAACCCAAAACAATCTAAGATGAATTTAACAGAATATCTCAAATTCTAAAAACAAAGGACTAGCAAACACTTAGAGGAGACCTGATCACCAGGTTCCAGTATTTAAAGGGTGGCTGCAAAGAAGATGGAGACTCCCTTTTACAAGGTGTCACATGGAAAAGACAAGGGGTGATGGGTACAAGTTATTCCTGGGGAGATTCATGTTTGGACACGGGAAAAT